AAAAAAAAAAAAAAAAAAAAAAAAAAAAAAAAAAAAAAAAAAAAGAATTGAAGAATTGATCACACTACTAACATTCACAGGGTTTCCATACACTGTGAGTTCACATATTTGAAATGAATTAGAGTAACTGTAGGTTTTTCAATATTGCTGTACATTTTTAGGGGTTTTCTCCAGTGAGTTGGCATGTGGATATTAAAAAGGAAGGATTATATAAATCCTTTCCAACATTTCGTACACTGAAAGGGCATCTCTCCAGAGTAAATTCTCACACATTCATTAAGCTTTGAGTGAGTAACTAGTGCCAGCTTCTCAATATTTCTTACATTTATAGGGCTCTGTACACTATGGGTCCTTGTTTAAGAAGGGCTGAGCATTGATGATGGCTTCTTTTTACTTATTTTTGAGACAGTGTCTCTCTCGCCCAGGCTGGAGTGCAGTGACAAAATCTCAGCTCACTGCAACCTTGGCTCACTGCAACCTCCACCTCCTGGATTCAAGTGATTCTCTCACCTCAGCCTCCCAAGTAGCTGGGATTACAGGCGCCTGCCACCACACACAGCTGACTTTTGTATTTTTTGTAGAGAAAGGGTTTCACCATGTTGGTCAAGCTGACTTTTTTTGGTTTGTTTTGTTTTTGAGACTAAGTCTCAGTCTGTTGCCCAGACTGGAATGCAGTGGTATGATCTCAGCTCACTGCAACCTCTGCCTCCCAGGTTCAAGCAATTCTCCTGCCTTAGCATCCAAAGCAGCTGGGATTACAGGTGCCTGCCACTACACCTGGCTAATTTTTGTATTTTTAGTAAAGACCTGGTTTCACCACATTGGCCAGACTGGTCTCAAACTGGCCTCAAGTAATCCACCCAGCTTGGCCTCCCAGAGTGCTAGGATTATAGGCCTGAGCCACTCTGGCTGTTGATATAAAAAAAGGAATTTGGCTGGGTGCAGTGGCTCAAACCTGTAATCCCAGCATTTTGGGAGGCCAAGGTGGGCGGATAACGAGGACAAGAGATCAAGACCGGCCTAGCCAACATGGTAAAATCCCATCTCCAGTAAAAATACAAAAATTAGCTGGGCATGGTGGGACATGCCTGTATTCACAGCTACTTCAGAGGCTGAGGGAGGAAAATCACTTGAACCTGGGAGGCAGAGGTTGTGGTTAGCCGAGATCACCCCACTGCACTCCAGCCTGTGCAACAAAACAAGGCTCTGTCTCAAAAAAAAAAAAAAAAAAAAGGAATTTGTCACTTGATCCCAGAAAGAAGTAAAAAGATGAACAGCCTCAAAAGTCAACAACTCTTCCCAGATGTGTAAGAGTAATGGGGCTGCAGGGCAAACCATCATGGACGGAGGGGTTATCTGCACTTTGTGAGTTTTACCTCCAGGGGCTGAAACAGGTTTTCACAGTCAATATTAGAGAAAAATCCCTTATGCTCTTGGCTAAGAATGTGAAAAAAGAGTGCTCTCTTCGTAACAAAGCCTACCATCAGGAGAAACTAGTTCACCAGAGAAAAATCTGCTTTTTGGCCAGGCATGGTGGCTCACACCTGTAATCTTAGCACTTTGGGAGGCTGAGGCGGGCGAATCACCTGAGGTCAGGAGTTCAAGACCAGCCTGGCCAACATGGTGAA